TGTTTGATTTAATAAACTACCTTGGCAAGACTGCACCTAATAAAGTTATGAGAGACCTGAAGGGGGAGAGAGAGAGAGAGAGTCAGGGTGTGTCTCTGTCAAGCACTGCTGCATGTCTGTGCGATGCAGTCAGACATGTCACCACTTTCCTAAACTGATCACTTTCATCGTTGGGATTATTTTCTATCTTTTTCCCTCTCTATCACACACACACATGTGAATTGATAAAACCCAAACTCATCACTGTTTTGCACTTCAGGATCCATCAAACATGGACTCTACAGTACAGCTTCAAACAAGTAAAGCCTGGCTGCATAAACATGCAAGCCCTTAGCCCAGATCAGTATACAGTTAGTCACTTAAACAGATAGTCATCTGACAAAACTAATCAATGGCTAGTTGGCTAGTCTGTTGTTTAAAGCCAAAGAATCGGTTTCCAACCTACCGAAACCCAACGGCATTCAATCCACAATCCATGTATGTTTAAGAAAAGCAAGACATTCTACACTGGAGGAACTGGAACCTGTATATTTGCTGTTATTGACTGATACATGACTTAAACGCTTGAATGAATTCTCCAAACTGCTGTTTGTTCCACTAAAGGATGAATGGACTAACAAAGATATGAAGGATGATCTCACTTCTACAAAGTGAGCAGCTGCTTCTTGTCTGTTGTCTTCCACGGCTGCACTGCTGATTGTTGGTCAGACAAAATAAGCCATCAGTGTGGAAGTGAGAGTGAAATATTAATCAGCAGAAGAAGTGACTGCAGCCCCACCTGTGTGTTAAGTAGACAAACTCCTGTCACCAAGACACACATGCTACATCCCGCACCTATTCTCACCTTCTGACCATTGTCAGCCAGTTGAGTCTGAATGATCAGTCATCTTCTGCTTAAGGTGAAACACACAAACACACACTGCCTGGCTCTCACGGCTTCGACAGTGGTGGTGGTATTCACCGCCACACATACAGGGGCACATTGAAGAGATTTCCTGTAGATTTCAGAGGATCTGATGAGATTCCATGATTCCTGTTTTGTATCAGCAGATACGAACTGACTAATGAACACATCCAAACCCAATTGCACTGTAAATGCATGTAAAAGCGCCACGGAGAACTCAATGTAACCTGGTTTTCAGCTGCTGGCAGCGCCTGTGTGAAAGCACAAACCGGATTCCTACTGGTTTTCTGCACATTTGTGCCGATGTTCACTTGGGTTCATGTGTTTGTTCACACGGCTCTCGGTGGCATTCACCACACTTAGGCTGCCTTTGTATCAGATTTGGTGCTTTGCAGCGGTTCTCAGTCTTCTTACCTGTTTTGTAGAAGGCATCAGTGTCGGGGTCGCTGGGCGCCTCCTCGGCCGCTTCTGCGTGGTTCATACCGGAATCCGGTTCAATACAATCCACCGACAAAGAAAGACAGAAAAAAAAACTCTCCGGGCCGGAAAATCCTCGCCTCTTTATCCCTCACATGTCCTCCGGGGAGCCCCCTGTCCCTCCATCCCCTGCTCTAGCTTTCTTTCTTTCCGTCGCCCTCTCGGTTTGTTCGGTGTTTCGGGGCTGGCTTCGTTTCTCTCTATTGTTCCCGGTCCAGCCTCGCTCTGCTGCTGTCCGCCAGGGTCTCTCTGCCTCTCTGCCTCCCTCCCTCTCCCCCGTACCTCCCCTCCCTCTGCCTCTCTCGCTCATCCATTTCAATTCATTGACTTCTATTAGTAAGACATGATGTGTGTGCTGTTAAGAGCATTGATAAATGACTGTCAGTTCATTATTATTATTATTATTATTATTATTATTATTATTATTATTATTATTATTATTATTATTATTATTATTATTAATCGTTCTCTTTGAGGTAGGAATGTCTGCTGAGTTTCAATGCCATTTGATTTAAACAGCTGTTGTGTGCACAGCTGACATTCTGTCCTGACTGTGGCGCTAAAACAAAACCAGTTCAACAGTCCAGATCCTAAGTTTATCTTCTGGGGAGCGCAACTAAACAATGATGTGTCCTGAAGGTGGCTGTGTTGGTTCAGATGTGGTGGTGCACTGTGGGTGCACTGTGGGTGCACTGAGGGTGCTGTCTGCAACTAAAAGCTCTGCCCATTTACCATGTCTTGTTTCTCAGATCTGTGTGAATACTGGGCCTGTCCTTGAGTTGGATCTAAGGCTAAGACACCTAAGACTTGAAGGTTAGGTCAATGTCCCATAGGTGTGAATGGTGTGTCAGGGATCTGTTTCCAGCACAGGACAGTCATGTCTCTGTAGTGTGTCCTCTTACCAAGCTCAGTGGCACAGAGGAGTTTGGTGCTGGTCCAACCAGTGACTGAGCTCCATATTTGAATTGTGCCACTGCTGATTCTGTTGACTCAGCATTTGTCAGGAGCAGGATCCACCCTCTGTTGCTCCTCCAGTAGTTTCTTCCATTTACCACCATTAAATGTTTAGTTTTTCTTGTGGAGTTTGTCCTTTTTCAAATTGACAGTCTAAGGATAGAGGGTGTCCTGCGTTGCACATACTGTCAGACCCTACAAAACTACTTTGAGATGAATGAAACTGATTGTGCTTGACAAAAGGTCACAAATCATCTCCTGAAAGTCATGAACAGCCACATACAGTACTTCTAACTGATGTAAACAGCAGAATGCAGATGTGACTCCTCTCTTTATGTCAAGGCTGTTTCACGAAAAATAAACCAAACCTATAAATGGAAAACTGTAGAACACAGTGACAATAAGAACACTGTAGTATCCACTTTGCACAGTGCCTCTGTAGCTATTCTCCTTAAAGATCCACCCAAACAGTGATCACTGAAGTGAGTTTGTTGGTTTATCAAATAGCTTGTTTTACTGTACATTTATTATTGTATTATGTATTGCTTAGTCTCAGCCATTTATTCTGTTTTAGCAGCAGCATAATTGACTTTGTTTCCTACCTGCACAGCTCAAACAGCAGAGAAACAAAGAAACTAGTAAAACCCACAGCAGAGTTAAAAGAAAGAATAAATGCAGGTGGACATATGAGCACATTAGCCTAGACAAATATGAGTCTAAAATAAGCTGGCCTGGCATTTGTCCAGAGGGAGCCATTCTTATTGTGTCCCTGTCACTCCTCTGGTTTTCTGCCAGTCTGAACGCATCACCTCATCAGCATGAAAGTCATTGCAAGCTGCTCCTGTGCTCTCCCTGTATACTACTGCCACCTAGTGGACAGGGCCGCACATAACAACCACACCACTGTGTCATGTTGTTGTTGTTTGGATTTTTGTCACACTGTCCTTGAAGGACTTAAATCAAGTCCGATTTAATGGATGACGTCAGCCTTTTCCAAGTAACACACTGCTTCCCCTCCTTTTCTTTGTTATCCTGAATTGACGATTGATGATTCTTAAAGCCATCCTACCTTCTTTTCATCCACAACACCATTTTGAAAAGCAGTATAGTACCCAAAGTGAACAATAGAGGGCGACTCAGAGCACTTAGGTTTCCAGCAGAATGCCCAGGTTACAAAAATAAAATTGAATTAAATTAAATTAAATGTAACTTATTTCAGCCATGAGCTTCAACCAGGATTAGTAAAAACATCTGTGAGGGTGTGCAGGCTCTTAGTGCACTGATGCTATCCCAGGCCAGTAAGATCATACAAACTCTACAATAAACAGCTAAGTCTACTGGAATCACCCTCCGCTGTTTAGACGGACCACAGTAGGAAAAACACAGGGGTAAATAATAACATTAGTGTTGGCTGCATACAATGGTGGGGTTGAAGTATAAAGCCGTCAAAGCTGGAGTAGAAATAGCGATGGCCAAGTTTACAGGCAGGCAGAGGTAGAGAAGCACGTTCAGGTACAGGGACAAGCACAAGCAGGTAACAGGCATGATGATCTGAGACAGGTGAGTGAGTGGGTGACGCTCAAGTGACTGAAAGACAAGTAGAAAGGCCAAAATAAACAGGAGTGAGACAGAAATCCTGACATAAAGAAGCATGAAATGGAAACACCAGTAAAGTCCCAGTACCTCAGAGTTGTACTTAATACAGTACTTGAGTAAATGTACTTAGTTACTTTCCAAGACTGGTAATATCTGTGTTTTTCCTACTATGCCTCTGGTCCACTGCAAGTATCTGTGTTCCTGCATGCGAGGTTTTCTCTGTACATCTTTGGAAGCTTTGTCTCTGCTCTGTTTGGCCAACGGAAGCCACAGTGTGGCCATGACAGGCTCAGAGGGCGGAGCCAGATGTACTGGGGTGGTGATTTACTCATCCCAGGCTGCAGTCCGTTCTTCAGAAGGGCTCTAAAGATTTAAATATGTCCACTCTGAACATTATATCTAGAACAATGTCCCTCAGGCACATTTGGTCCTCTTGTTGTTTTTGCCTTATTCCATTAGAATGACATGAGATGTGTCTTTGCATAAACAAAGAGAGCTTTAGTACATCTGGACCCCGCTCTCCTCCATCCACCACTCAGCCTACACCCACAGGAGACTCAGAGCGACACCTTCACTGCCTCTTTCAGACATTCATCTCAAAACTTTCTTATTCATTTCTGCTGTTTTTAGTTTTAATGAGACAAATAATGATATAAATCAAATTCCCCGTGGGTGTACATGTCTAACATAAATATGTGGTAGCTAACAATAGGATTACACATGTATGCTGAATCCATCTCAACCCCCATCCACATCCCTTTGTCCTACTTTCCTACCTTTATTATTTTGAGTCTTGATGTTTCAACACTAATGATGTCAGTGAATGAACTGCAATTTAAAGTAGTGATGTTGTCTGTGGATTCAAATACAAAGGCACTGCACTCCAAGAAATCAAATATCACCTTTTTATTTAAGCTGATTACAGAAGCTTCTGTTGCAGTTTGAGGAGATTTTGAGGGCTTTGTTTCAAGGAAGTTGACTTCTTGTGACAAACAAAGTGTTTTAGTGAAGATTTTTTTATTTATTGTTTCTAATCCATTGAGGTTAGAAACCTCTTCTTCAGAGACAAAAACATTGTACAAAGTTAAATCCAAAATTACAAGAATAGTAGTAAAAGTGACATCAAGCAGACAAAAAACTCAAACATCTAAACTTCTGTGCAAGCTTCCATATCCTGTACCTGGTTAACCCACATTCCCGTTTGTCTCAGGTTTGTGGAACCCTCCTATTCCCTCCTATTCCAACCTCTCTCCTTTTTTCTACATCTGGAGCCTGTAATCAGGTCAGCTGACTCAATACCTCCACATTCATGTCCTCCTCAATCACAACCATCCTAACATCCAACACTTCTTCACTGCATCAAACCTTTAAACTCACTGCTGTGCCATGGTTCTTGCTTGTGAAAGGTATTCTCTCATTCCAATGCTTTTTCTCTTTGAAGGAAAACATCTGAAACATGGATTGAAACTCATCAAACACATCATTCTGGGTGTAACTGCACTTCCTGTATCCCTCTGCTACGATATAAGCCACTGTGGTTTTGTTTCTAGTTAATCATTCAGACTTCTCAGATGTAATGTGGTCTTTATTCACTGATGTTTTAATGCTACATATAACACCTTCACATTTCCACATTAAGGAGTCACTGCTGCTCACTGTCCAGCTGAGTACAAATCCAGAGGACTCGGAGAGGGGGATGTACTGTATGTCAGAGTGGTTTTCACCGTGATCCGTTCAATTCTTTATTTCAAAGGAAGAAACATTTTAAACAAGCCATTAAAGGACACGAGTCCAATCTACAACATCTACACCAGGTCTTGTTAGGATGTTGACATTACTGTGGCTGAATACTAAACTCTCCAAGTCTCAGTAGTATGGCACCATTGTCATGCTGTTTGAGTCCAGTGTGTTGTGATGAGAGCACTAGTTACACTTTTTAAAAAGCAGAACAAAAAGAATCAACCAAGGAGTTTGATACTTGCATTTGTCAAAGCTTGTTTGTATAAGCATCTTTTTCACATAGTTAGTTAATAAGTCACATCAACCATATTAAACATATCAAACAATTCTGCTGTAGAAAAACAAAGGGAAGGAAAAGGAAATGAACCACGTGTGTATCACATTTCAACATAAGACGTGCTAATACCAGTAGTAATGACATTAGAACAATTACACAGACATCTCTTTTCTAGTTGAAATAATCCGACTGTCACGTTCCAGTCCTTTCTCTATGTACAAGAGACATTCAGATCTGTGTCCCACCAGCAGAGACCTCTCACCCTCAGACTCACATTTGGCTTTTCCAGCCCTGCACACACCTGAAATTACTGACCTGATTTAGTGACAAGTTTTCTACCTTTTGAAAGGAACAGTCTGACATTTTAGTGAAATATCTTGATGATGCTAAATCAGGGGAGAAGACTGACATACTATCATACCTGGCTTTACTCTGGACTTCTCTGGAAGCTCAGTTTATTTGCTTTGTTCAGCGTCTTCACTTTACCTGACGTTTGGTTGAGAGAGCAAACAAGATGGCAGATGTTATCTCTAAAAATTCGAGCTTTACTGCACTGTAATGGATTTGAGTTTGGATCCAGTGTAAAACGGTTTCCCAATTCCCTCACAAGGATGACAAAGCATTTCATGTACTTTTTTTTGAGAGATCAAGAATGTGTACTGGCTGTAGGACACGAATACATACAATTACATTTAAGTGACTTCTACTAATCAAGCCAGTTAGAGTAATACAATGCCCAAAATTAAAAAGAAAACTCACCCAGAGGTTCAAGATCATCAACATTATAAACAACAAGAAAACAATTCAAGAGGAGAAAGACAAAAAAGATGAAACTAACAGCTATACAGAGCTGTTTGTGCTTGTGAGGACATTAACCCATCACCTGAAATGTTCCTCAAGTAAGAGAAGATGCAAACTGGTCCATTTTGCATCAGTTGTTTCAAAGATAAAAACAAACAAACAAAAAGGGTCTGTTGTTTTTATAACCCCAGTGTCCCTGACTACACATCTGCATTATGTTAAAATAAAGTGCAAGATATTTCTAGTCATATAGATGAATCTCATTATTGACAAGTAAAACTGTTCAACAAAGAAATCACTGAACACTGACAGATTAAATCCCTGTAGCATGATGGAAAAACTAGCAAAGCTGATGTCCTGTCAACTGCCAGGACCAAAGACACCAGAATGTTGCACTGCCTGTGTGGTTGTGTGTTTTATTGTGCGATCAGATACAAATCGAAGCAAAGAACTCTAGCCATAAAACCAAGCTATGATTTTAAACCAGGAAAAACTGGAAATATCTGATGTAAAACATAAACTCGCATGACAATGCTTGGTCAGATCCTTGTTTCAGACCCACTCTTCTCTGCTCCTGCCTTGTATCTGAATGTAGAATTATAAAACTCAGGTTCACAAAAACTCATGTTGACCTTAAACTCAGCTTAACACTCTTGACTGCATCACAGTAAACAGAAGACTCATGATAATACAACACAATGATCCCCTCCACAAAAAACATTACACATTAAAAATGAAAGAAAAAGAAGAACACACAGGCCTACATTTATTCAGCTGGGTGTGTTATGATGTCTAGATGTATAAGGCTGGTCCAGGGTCATGCTGTGTGACCGCTCCTGGTCATTTGGTCAGAGATAGAAACCGGTGGCTCGTGGGGCGAGGAGGTTGGACAAAGTCTCGGGACTGGGCATCTGGACAGCAGGGGGCGCTGATCCATTCCCGCTGGGCAGAACACAGCCTCCTGGGCAAGCACTGCTCAGGATGCAGCCGTTGTCAACCTGCACAAGGCAAGAGGATATCATGAGTACAGAGAGCTGGGAGGAACATCAAAACACCATCATATATTTAAGGAAGTGTGAGTTGAAGCAATGGTCTTTCCTCAAAAACAGTATCCCTGATGTTAACTCTGTTGTCACATGCTGTGGATTTTCTCTATAGCACTTTTCAGACATGCACTGGAACCCTGAAATTCTCTAGACATTACCTGGAGGAATTGTATGCGAGAGCACAAATGTCAGAGTCAGCTGACCCAGATAAATGGACTTTATCTTATGCGGCTCCCTAGTACAAAGTCAGAGTATTGTCTGAGTGAGCCAGAGCGAGAAAACAGCAGCGTATAGTCTGGAGCATTCACAACAAGCTAATGAGTGTGTTGAATACGTTCTATCATGTGACTGGCGTGAAACCGGAAGAATACAATCATCCCCTGGTGAAGAAAAATGGTCATTTACAATGAAGACACCAAAGAAAATATCTAAATTGAGACACAGTGAGATTTGGGAACTTCTATCGTTAAGAGCTAGCACTGAATCGTCAGACAAGGCAAGAGACTTGGTTGTTTATGACCAAATTACAAACTGGCTACATGACCACATCATGTCCCGCCTCTTGTGCACTCTACGCAGGTGCCACCTCTCACATAAACCAAATACAGTATTTCCAGTAAGTGAGAACAGGTCTGACACAGACTATCTCCTGTTGTGTGCTACATGTATGGAAGGGAAACTCTGGACAAAGTCCAAGAATGAGCTTCCAAACTGTTTTAACTAGGATTTTGATACAATAACTATATGAGTGTTTCAGCGACCTCACCTTACTGACACTGGGATCAGGAGGCATCTCAGAAGTTGCTGTGCCAAAAGGTTCCAGCTGACCGCAGGACTTGCCCGCTCCCAGGATCTGCTCCAGGGAGGCACTGGGAGGAGGGTACTGTAACAGGCTGGAGGGATCCTGAGCCAAAGGAACTGAGATCTGCTGGTGCTGCACCCCCTGTAAGGGTGAAATCACAGATTCTGTCCCATGCTGTTGTCCACCTGTCCCAAACGAGCCACTGCCACTAATAGTGTAATCTGCATTGTCAGTATCAGGCATGCTGTAATCTATGCAAGAATCTAGTGAGGTGTCTGCTAGAGGTCTTTGGCTGCTATCAAGGCAGGGGATGCTGCTTAGGCTCTCTCCGAATCCACAGCTGTGCCACTGGGAATTCCCAGCTGAGTGCTCTGTGCTGGCGGTGCCACAGAATCCACAGAGGTTGGCAGCCTTCTGTTTGACACAGCACTGCTGCGAGAGCTGCTGCTGCTGAAGGTAGTGCTCATGAGTCTGCTGCTGACAAAGTTCGCCTTCCAGCTTCAAGGCCTTGCCACTGAAAATAGTCTGTTGGGTGCTAAAGTGTTCCAGTTGTATCTCCGCACTAGCTAGGATGCCTTGGGCTGTCCATGGTCCACTAGGGTTAGGTTGATTTTGCCCCAGCAGCTCTCCATTAGCCACCGTATCAGCCAAATGGTCACTCTGCTGATCCCAGTCCACCGCCACTTTACCTGACTTCAGGTTGAGGTGCTGCTGCATCTGCTGGGACAGCTGGACAATGGGAGCCTGCCCCATGAGGGGAAGCTTATGGGGAGGAATATGCATTTGTACACTACTATCAAAGGTGGGATAACTCTCTGTTGCTGAGGCTGGACCAGGAGGCACCTGCCCTTCATGCTCTGTGGACTCAGTCTTTCCCACTATGGAATCATAAATATATGAGAGGATCTCGTGATTTGTCAGCAGGTCATCCAAAGTGGGCACCTGTTCCTGGTCCATCTCAACTCTGATCATGCGTTCATCTAGCAGCAGCAGTTCCAGGTCCTCAGCACTCAGCCCCAGACCTTCCAGAGCCCCAAACAGCTCACCATTTGAACACCCACCCTCGTCTGCACCCTCAGTCCCTTGGCCTTCCAGTGAGAGGGAGTCCAGAGTAGCCAGCAGTGGGTCGAAACCGATGCTCAAGTCTGTGATGCCTGGACCAACTGCCCCAGTGCTCGACTCAGGCCAGGCCATTTGGTCCTCAAAGAAGCTGCTATGGAATGACATTTTGGGCTCCAGGGCGGGCTGGCACACATACACTGACTCATCCTGACTCATAACTGCCCCCAGCAATGAGCTAGGGTCCAGACCATCGATCACCAGCCTGTCAGTCCGACTCTTCTTTGTCTTGCCAGTGTTTTTTTCATGGGTTCCATCTCTGAAGCCTGCAATGGGATGGTTGGACTCATAGAGCAGGGCCTCACCTGTAGCATAGGTAAAGGGCAGATGCATGGAGCGCTTACGCAGGTGTTCTTCTCCCTCTTCATCCCTGTAAAGTCAGAAAACATTCTTATCTGGAGACCTGACCAAGGCAACTCATTTACAAAGCAGGAACGTTTATATTTTGTTTTTGGCTTGAACCCACTTTGCTGTTATTAAAAGGGTAAAGTCTTCAGGTCTTACATACATCAAATTAAACATGAGAGGTTATTATTTGTCTGCATATAAACTTTTGATTATGAAGGATCTGTTGCTGTTTGTCTAGTCTGTCTTTGAATACAACGGGTCTGTTTTGTGCATTTACAACACAAGCTAAACAAACAGGAACACACAGAAGAGGCCTCTGGGTGGCGATGATGTAGTCAGGTTTGCCGTTCCTGTAGACCAGCCTGGCATTAGCCTGGACCCATTTCCAGCGATTCTCCTTAGTGAGAAGCCTGAACACAGTCAGACCACTCTCCCCAGTCTTTATCACTGCAAATATGGAACACAAACAGTTATGATGAGTTAACTGTCTAACAAACCTAATCTAAACTTATTTTCAGCAGCAACAGAGGCCACATTTTGCATATTGGTGACTCCTGAGTATTAAAAGGTGGAAAGCCAGAAATCCTATAAGGTTACTTTATGTAAGTCTAGAACAATATGTTCATGTTTACCACCCTGGCATGTCAGTTACATTTATACCAAGTAAAAAAGATTTAACATTGATGAATAGTCCCAGAGCCTCACAAGAGGTGCAGCTACAGTAAAACAAGTCCATTGGGTCACTGGGGAGCATGATTTCATTCAAGTTCAATGAAATGTAACTGTCCCGATTGAACAAGTGGAAGTTATGGTTTGATCTTACACATCACATTGATATTAAAAAAAACATTTCTTTTAACCGTAGATGGATCACTGACCAGGCCTACAATGCACAGGCAGTCGAGGGCCCTAGACCAGAGAACTATGAAGGGATTGGTAAATGGTCTTATACTTGTATAGCGCCTTTCTATGCTTTTACAGCACACTATTTGGCCATTCACACTCACACATTTGTGACATCAGAGGGAGCAACTGGGGGTACAGTGTCTTGCTCAAGGACACTTTGACTGGATAAGCCGGGAATTGAACCGCTAATCTTCCGGTTAGGAAACAACCTGCTCTACCTCCTGAGCCACAGCCACCCCTAACCTTTGCTAACCTTTCTGTTGGAAAGTCAATCAAATGACTACAGAGAAGCCACAAAACTACAAAAAGACTAAATTGAGACAGAAAAATCCCCAAAAGACAACAAATCAGCTACAAATAGATGCAAACTGACAAAAAAGTAAACACAAACAAATAAAAATAAGTGCTAAATGACTACAAAGACATCAAAACCAGACAAAAATGAACACAAAAAAGTTAAAAACAGAGGCAAAACAACCACAAGAAGACACCAACTGATTGCAATCCACATGGTTGCTCAGTCTGTGAAGTAGGGGCTTTTTGCATGTCTGTCCCTAGGGCCCATTGTCTCATAGTCCATCCATGCCCTTAAGCAACATGTCACAGCCCATCTTGTACCTAAACCAATCTTTCTTTTCCATGTGCACAAAGTTGAGAAGCATGGAAAGTAAAGTGGGAAGGTACAGTGGGTGAAATAAAAAAAAAATCCTACTTAACATAACATAATATGATGTTAGTCTGAGGAAGAGGTCTGTCAGCTCTTCTGTTCTTACATCATAACAGTAAGCTCTAGACCTTACTGTGTAACATGTCCTGAGATGACTTTTGTTGTGATTTGGCGCTATACAAATAAAATGTGATTGATTGATCTTGATTAAAGTACAGTGACCCTGAGAGTGCTCGGTAACACACCTGACCTCTGCAGTGTTTGTGTGGTGCTGCTACTGAATGAATAATCTCTGATGTTTTGCTCATGCAGTGGAGTTGTGGGCCCTATCCTCTGCTGACGCAGCTCTGCAGCTTTCCCCAATCTGCTCCCTAATCCAGCAGGATTACTTGTGAAAGCTGTCTGAACTCTCTAATCATTTTGGGCCAGTTTTCCTCATCTTCTTTCACATCACAGCCTGTTGGTGAACATCAAAGATGGATGAATGTATATTACACATTGTCTTCATGATAAAACTGCTTCAGACTACATAATGATCACCTCTTTTGTGCCACCTTAACAATGTGTTCACATGCAGTCACCTGTATTGTAAAGCTGCAGGACAGATGACAGTGTGTCTTTGTCCATTAGGTCCAAAAACAGAATGGTATAAAATCTGAGACACTGCTGTTTGATCCTCAACAAGACTTTGGATTTGGAACTTAGGCACACTCACCTCAGCTAAAAGCATGTAAAAAAACAAAAAAACATGCTTATGTAAATTATTTTTTAAATGTTCCCCAATGAAGCTGTCTTGAAATGTGCTTAATGAGGGCTGTACTGATGTTTAAGGCGCTAGCCATACATTTACAGCCCTGGTTTGACTCCAGCTGCAGACCTTTGTTGTGTGCCATTCACCATCTCTCCACATCATTTCCTGTCAGCTCTTAACTGTCCAGTGCCTAATAAAGCAATAAAATACCCCCCAAAACCTAAAATGCATCAATTCAAAATATGATTTCATTGGTCTTATGAGAAAGATCCACTTTCCTCTCTACAAATATTTACTTTGGAGAAAGTCTCCTGTGCTGGATTTTAATGTGCAGTTCACGTAGATAGCAGTAGAGAGAGCAGCTGCAGCCTTAGGACCACTGCAGATGCAATTCAAAAACACACAGCTGCAGATAAAGTTAGAGAGAAATGAACTTAGTTGTTTTCTGTCAAGCAACAGGGTGAAAGAGCTTACTTCTGATGTGGTTCTCTGCACAGTGCAACATGTCTGCTGCATGGATGAACTGATAGCCAGATCCTCGTACCCGCAGTTCGGCCTCCGTGTACCCCAGCACTATCTTCCCCCTGCACAAAAAGACCATCATTTACTAGGCACTGCTCTTACTATGTCATATCTACCATATAGGATCAGTAAATATCAGTTATGAAGCTCCCTCTGCACAATTATTCACAGTTATATAGTAATTCCTTCTTTATCCCAACAATCAGTTGGAGAACATCTTGTATCAAGTGCTGAGAGAGAGGAGAATTCACACAGCTCAATAAGACATGTTTGGAGCGTGTTATGTACGTATATGTTAAATTTCACTCTCATTACTTTGCATCACAGGCCAGGGGTGTGAAGTCCAGCTTGTGTTTGGTTCTGAAGATCATGTTCTTTGTCTTGATCTCCAGGATGGACGGAGGCTGCAGAGGAGTGGCGATGGCAAACAGGGCGAGCTGCGGCGGGGCCTTTCCTCCGTTTTCATGCTGCTGGTTCTGTCCATGCAGAAACATGAGCCTGCCCTGAATGTTCAAAGCCTGTAAAATCAGGAAATTAATAAAGTTTAAACCAGTTGTTTTTTTATGTTTTTCCATTGGTGCCACAATAAATGTGATGGAGGTGTATTTTAGGAAATACATCCCTATCTACCCCATCTAGTCCCACAACTACGCTGTATCTGTATGAGATCCATTCCCTATTGTGTAATCCAGTTCTCTGCTGTTCATCCTCCATAAGATCTGAATGCTGACATTTTCATAAATGACTGTATAAAAGCTACATGTGTCTTATTTACTGTGCATGATAGTGAAAACAAATACTTTAAATCGTTGCCGTGGAAAGTGATCTGAACCATCAGGAGTGGGATGTTGGATTTGTGAGAGCAGGTGGGACATTTTAGACTGTGCTTCTTTGACAGAAACAGTCCTACATAGACCTCTACTTGTGGCAGGCAGACAGACAAGTCAAGTAAAAGGCCACATATTGAAGTCTAGTCCCGCCAGCTCTGGATAAAAATATACCTTTAGTCTGCAGGGTTTCTCCTTATTGTGTAACCTACCAGAAAGCCGGAGGAGTTACCCAGCAGGCAGCGAAAGCGACACATAAAGCTCCTCTCCAGGAAGGACGAGTTCTCAGGGGGAAGCTGTTCAGGGTTGTAGGATACCAAAGCTGGACTGCTGCCTGGTTCCCTCTCTGTAATTACAGAAAATATGATCTGAAGATTATACAGTCAGTTGAACTTGAGAAACTGTTGTTAAAAGGCCAGTGAAGTAACAATAACAATCCTCCAAAGCTCTGCATCACTCTGTATTTGCAACATACCTTTGAGTGAAAGAAGAATTTGATCAAATTCCTCTTGAAATGATATCCAGTTCATAAAGTCATCTCATTTGTAAATACATCTTATTGAGTCATACAGAAGATGAAGATGGTCTACTGTGACTTTAAAAATGTGTCTGTCACATCTATGGTTCTTCCACAGAGAAGCAGTGCTTCTTGACTTCTGGTGTCCTGAGTTGCCTTAATAATGTCACAAATGTGAAAATGAAGTGCACATATTAAGAGCAAGAACATTAGATTGACATCATTGTGCCCTCTGTATTTATTCTTCAGTTCAGTTTAAATGTTGTCTCATACCATCAGCTGTAGAAAATGCACTTATTTTATTTTACTTAATGCCTGAAACTGTCTCTGTCATAACGCCAAGTGATAGCATTTGCTGCAGTTTTAAAGAGGACATAATGTGAAAATGAAGCGCACATATTAAGAGGAAGAACATTAGATTGACGTCATTGTGCCCTCTGTATTTATTCTTCCGTTCAGATTAAATGTTGTCTCATACCATCAGCTGTAGAAAATGCACTTATTTTATTTTACTTAATGCCTGAAACTGTCTCTGTCATAACGCCAAGTGATAGCATTTGCTGCAGTTTTAAAGAGGACAGTGCACACACGTCCTCGGTGCAGGAATGGGTTAGTTGTGTCAGCGCTGTGGGTCTTAACCTAAACACACCATTCAGAACCAAAGCATAAAGACATAAGCATCTTAAGTACAGCTCTGGGACCACTTTGCCTCTTAAGTCACCGTGACGATTACAGGATCACATGACCTGGGGATGATCTCACAGTTCAATGCTTAAACTGTGGGTACTTAACCATCTAATATTGAATCCAAACATGTATGCTCACACACAGACTGTGGGCTGCAGTGGAGCAGCACATTTAGCTTTGGTGCAGTTCTACTGAAGCACATTATGTTTGGACAATAACACAAACACCTCAGCCAGCACATTTTATACTTACAAATGTTTGCAGTTAGTTGCAAAATTTGAGCAAAAGGTGGCCAAATGAACAAAATCTCTGCAAATTTTAAAGAATTAACAACCCTTTCTGCATACATTTCAGAAACATGACCAGGAGCCAAGGTCAAATAAAACAGAACCTTCATCTCAACAAACCAATCTGATGTGTTGTTCATTTGTCGTGGTTGCCCTTCAGACAAAAGGGTTGGAGACCTGTATTCAGTCCCACCAGGATCTTGATCTTGTGGTTTTGTTGTAGCCTTAACAATAAACTCATTCAGGTGGAGAGTGAGTCATCACCTTGGGGGGTGTCCTGAGTAATGGCAGAAGGAGGATCCAAAGCCCAGTGCAAGTTTCTCCTGAGCTCCTGCTGGTCCTCCGTGTGGACCAGTTCATACACACTCTGGCGCATGACGTCCGTCTGTGAAGAAGAGGGCGCAATAAGTCTATGCTGAAATAAACAAGTTACAAACAGAATAAAGGTAAAATTACACATCTGAAAAATAAAAAAAATGTCAGTAAATCCATCAAAATAATATGAATCATATGAGGTTGCTTGACAGTGATTTGTCGCTCTTGTCTGTGGCGTTTGTCTCCCCAAACAGATTCATTTTGATCGATTAGATTTATTGACTCAGCACTGTGGTGCCTGCATCAAGGTTCAAGGGCCAAGGTTTTTTGTCTAGGTGCACCGGTTTCCTCCCTCAGTCCAAAGATATGCAGCGTAGGTTGATTGGCGACTCTAAATTAGACATTATCCAGGCGTACAAACATCCCATGTTTAACATTCAAATTGTCAGTTCAGTGGGAACTGATGATTCACTGTGGTGACCCCTAACAGGAACGGCCCGTTACTACAAAATGTAACTTCCTCTCCTTAATGTGAAAACAATCTAAGTGTGTGTAATATGCACTTGTATAGTGTTATGTGAGCTTTGTCATTCAGAACACAGTGTTTCAGCAAGCAAGGCACTGCAAAACATGTTACTACGATCAGGCTACAAGTTAAGCCACAAGTGTTGTCTGAGCTCTAGAGACCCAGACCACAGATTTCCTCATGTATTCACATCAGAATAAGAGGAGGTTCCCCTTCCCACACTCTGTTTGTATTTCTGATTGTTCTGTTTCCACCTGTCTCCTACAGGGAATTTTTTGCGCTACCACTGTTGACAAAAGTCTTAGGACTATTTAAGGACTAATTATTTGAGGTGATTAGAAGTGTAAATAAAGAGTGGTATTGATAGGATACCTGGTGGAAGCCCAGGTAGTCCTGGATGGTGTGAGAGCAGTAGAAGATGGTCCCATTGGCAGTGACAACCAGGATGAAACCGTTGAGAGCCTGTGGTTCAGTATAACATTTATACAGACAGTTAGCAGGTTATTGTCAGTTGTTGTCACCAATAATCAATTCTACAGCACAATTAAGACATTCTGCTCTGTTTCCTCCATTTTCTGAGTCTGAATAACAGATATGCTCACAGCTCTTCTATAATTCACAATCATCTGCTGTGAAAAAACCAACTCAAACTTCAGAAATAAATTGTGCACTCCTCTGCCTGTGAAGCGATAGCTCTTCATCTCCCCTCTCATCCTGATGAAGAGGGGGAGGCACGCTGTGGCACACTCACCTCCTCACTGAGTCTGTTTCTCTAAACGAGCTTTTGTTTCTCATTACTGACAATCTGGGGAAATGTATTCTGATCATAATAATGAAAGCTCACTGCCAGGGGTGGGGACTGTGGGCCAGGCTGTTTCCTCTCCTCTCTCCTGGAATGCCAGTGGGATACATGCTGGGAGTAACTAGACTGGAAAATCAGCGACTCCAGCCAGAGAGCTTGCTCTCCACTCAATCACACATACTGAGGACACACAACCACCCTGAACGAGGGGAGGGTTTTTTTTTTCATGTTTTGACTTGAATCAGAAACAGGCCTGTCCGTCATCTTTTCTTAAAAACTGTACCGTGGCTTGAAATTGCAGCAAAATGTTTGGATTTTCCAACAGAACAAGGGTGTGGCCACTAGCTGTCTAGAGAGCTCCACTCACACCCCATCTCTTTGCCCAGTTTTGGATTATCTGTAGGAGCTGGAGTGAAGCACTGCCAAGATGGCGACAGCCAGACTTGAGCTTCAAAACTGCTCTTCAGAAAACCAGTGGGTGATGTCACGATGGGTTTGTCCATCTCTAATATACAGTCAATGGGCTTTACACCAGATTTTGGACTTTCTCCCTTTCAGCCACCAGAGCATTAGTGAGGTCCAACACTCACACTCAGCCTTTCATTCCATCTCTGAGGTGTTGCATGGGTTTGAAGTCTGGGCTCTGAATGTACCCTCGGTTGTAAAACTGACCTGCAGCAGCAGCTCGCCTTCAGGGATCCTGGTCTCAGCCACTCCTGCTGTTTTATCGTCGTCATCATTCACGCCAGCTGGAGATGCTTTGTTACGACTGTTCAGAGCAACTGTACAGAGGGACACACAGGGCAGGAGGGTGGAGGTGGAGAGAATCAAACAAGCTTTAGTCTCTGGTCTTCCTCATGTTTAGTGCACTAACATTAAGTCGAAGTGCACAACTTTTACTTTGTCTGACAAGCTTGTGTGATGCCTGCTGTAACACCAGCACATCAGACAAACATCACAACAGAAACACAAATATCTTGTTACTGTTTCAGCTATTTTCATCATCACTTTGTCATTTTCATCATAGGTGACCTAGTTTTCACTTCTCATTTGTGAGGATTTACTGCTTTTCTTTGTCAAACACGGTTGCAAACACAATACACTGTATTTGATTCCAGACGGTTTGATGGACAAAAACCATTGCAAGGTATTTTACACAGCAGTTAGAATTTTTTTCTTACATTATTTTGGATCAAACTATCTTTTGTTGATTGAGAAAATAATATTTAGTTGCAGTGCTGCAAAAATGGCTGTCTTTATCTTAAAGTTCTTGTCCTTATAAACATAATTTGAACTGATAATGCAGATGTTTCAGATGTCATCTACAGGAAGTGATTCACAGGAACCATCACAATGGAGAATAATATACATTTCTGACTTTAAATAAAATGAATATATAAATGATATATTCATTATATATTTGTTTGTGCATAGTCCACAGTATACATAAAGCATGAGGTGCTTTTTTTAAAATGTTTTATTCAAATGTCTGTTTTATTAGTTTCATCAAATGTGCAAGCCCAGTTTGTAGCGAAGGGAAAAGTTACCACTTCAATCATTTTCTACCTTTTTAAAATAAGGTCAAAGAAATATTTTTTCTTCTGATGGGAAAATGGCTGATGTTGGAAGACTTATTATTTATAATGTTATAATAATATTATATATATACTATATATATATTTTATGTTGCAGCCATAAGCCTGCAAGTCCACAAGGAAGTGAAGTCAGTGTGAACAAAAAACATGCACAAATCAAGTGAAGATTTCAGGAGTTAGGGGCCAGCTTTTTAAGACAGCTTTTTGCACAAGACAAAAGGTGGCGTGGTGGTTAGCGCTGTTGCCTCACAGTGAGAAGGGTTCAGGCCCTGGCCAACCTGGGGCCTTTCTGTGTGGAGTTTGCATGTTCTCCCCGTGCTTGCGTGGGTTCTCTCCGGGTGCTCCGGCTTCTTCCCGCAGTCCAAAGACATGCAGCATAGGTTGATTGGTGTCTCTAAATTCCCCGTAGTGAGTGGTTGTTTGTCTGTGTGTTAGCTCTGTGATGGACTGGCGACCTGTCCAGGGTGTACCCTGCCTCTCGCCTGCAGATGGCTGGGATTGGCTCCAGCCCACCGTGATGCTGTTTGGGACTCTGCGGTATAAAAAATGGATGTTTGCTGGAGAATAGACTGCTGCACAAGACAGCTCCTTCAGGCGTCACTATATTTGCACTTTAATGTTGCTCAGTTCCCAAACCCAGACCCAAACGTATTGTGAGGGTCTGTTGGGAACTTTTAGCAGAATCCCCTGTCAGAGAGATCTTCAGCTCCCGCCTCCAGCAGAGCTTTGACCAGATCCCGGGGGAGGCTGGAGATACTGAGTCTGAGTGGACCATATTCTCCACCTCCATTGTTGATGCGGCCGTTCAGAGCTGTGGCCATAAGGTCTCCGTTGCCTGTCGTGGTGGCAATGCCCGAACCTGGTGGTGGACACCGGAAGTAAGGGATGCCGTCAAGCTGAAGAAGGAGTCCTTTCGAGCCTGGTTTGCTCGTGGGACTCCTGAGACAGCCAACGGGTACCAGCAGGCCAAGCGGGCTGCAGCCCAGGCGGTTGCGGAGGCAAAAACTTGGGTCTGGGAGGAGTTCGGTGAGGCCCCAACTATCAGTTGGCCTCGAAGAAATTCTGGCAAACCGTCCGGCGCCTCAGGAGGGGGAAGCAGTGCCCTGCCAAAACTGTTTACAGTGAAGGTGGGCAGCTGTTGACCTCAACTGGGGACATTGTCAGATGGTGGAAGGAATACTTTGAGGATCTCCTCAATCCCGGTGCCATGTCTTCCGATGAGGAAGCAGAGGCTGAGGGCTCAGAGGTGGACTCGTCCATCACCCAAGCTGAAGTCACTGAGGTAGTCAAGAAGCTTCTC